CAGGTGTCGGCTACATCATGTTCCCTCCCCCTGAGGTGCTGTCCTTTGGTTGGAAAAAATCCTCCTGGTCCTTACTGAAGTTCTCCAGGTGTGGGTTGTGTGTCTTACTGGTCCGCAGGTTGTAATCTGTGTGAGTGAGCTTTGTCTCAGTCATAGTCCTGTCCTCAGTAGCTTGTGCAGCACCGGGCTGTTAGTAAAGAGTATGTTAGTTAAATATATAAATGAAGCATGGCAGCTCCTTGGGCTCCCCCAGATGAACAAGTAGACCCAGTTATCAAATGCCTGCACTTCCAGAATCTGTTCTCAACCCCCAACCCCTGTAGAGGTTGCTTTGGCCTAGGAACTTGGTTATTTTCTCACCCTCAGCTCAGGCCCATGGAAGTTTTAAACGGGGAAATACCGATCAGAGCTTTTCTTTGGCATTGACTCTGGGTTCAGGATGTCTGGATGTTGGTGAGTGTGGCTGCTCTGAGTTTGGATTCTTAACCGAGGGCCTTCGGTGTGAGGGAAAACCTGTTAACAGCTGCTGTGGGCTTGATGGGAGGAAGGCTGGCTCCATACTCTTCCGTGCTGGTAGGACAAACTACATAATGGGAGGGGTGGGTGGGCCAGGCCACATCACTGGTGGGAAGGCTCCAGAGGGAAGTTGTTTTTCCAGCTTAGGCCAGATCTTCTGTGATAGGGAACAACATACCTAAGGCCCAGACCCACTGCTCGGATTCAGACGTGAAGGCCTGCTGTCTGTAGGTCAGCTCAGCACTTGGTGATACATTTAGTAGGGAATAGAAGAGACAGAGAAGATGGGTTCCCAGCCCTCAGAGCCGGAGGAGAAAAGAAAAACAAAAGGAGAACAATATGTGACCATATGTTAAGGCCAGATGAGTGTGAGAAGCTGCAGACTTGAGGTCAGAGGAGGGGACAATGGATCTGGGCCTGGAAGAATCCAGAGATGGTATTTTGAACTGGGCCTGGAAGGAAGAGGGAGGACAGACAGACGGAACCAGTGGGCGCAGTGCTCTGGGACGGGGAGAGGACGCAGCGAGGGGAACTGACAGTCCCAGCACTGCGGGATCTCACGACTGCGGATGGTTGGGTGCTTCGCTCCCAGGCCTGCGGCTTCTCCTTGTGAAGGATGCCTCAAAGCATGGGTTGTACGCTGAAGTCTCTTTCAGGAATCTCTCCTCCTCTGGGTTTTTCTCCAACCTGGCCTTTACATTTTCTCAAAAAAGCCCAGCGAGGTCAGGAACTCCCAGGGTTTATCTGCCCGGCTGTTTGCTCATGGCCTTGGACGAAGTGGTTGGAGTGTGGGTGATGCAACTTGTTCATGGGCGGAAGGGAGTTGCTTATGTTTCTTTTCGAATGTGCCAGTTTAAAGTGTTAGGTGGCGGTCAGATTCCCTGCTTTCATTACAGCACTCGGAGGGAGAGTTTCTCCTTTGTGTTCATAGATTCGGTTTTTGTTGTTGTGATCTAATACAGGCATACCTCGGAGGTATTACAGGTTCCGTTCCTGGCCACCACAATAAAGCGAATTTCACAATAAAGTGAGTCACGTGAAGTTTTTGGTTTCTGAGTGCATATAAAAGTTATGTAAAAGCCCTGGCTAGGTAGCTCAGCAACAAAACGAAGTATGCGGGTAGTTAGAAACCTGCAACAGCACACCACGACGGGACATGCTCAGTATTAATGGTTCTTGGCCATTATTATGCCTCCCTTGAAGAAGGGATCATTTGGACCCATAGTTAACTATACTACCAATCACTTTTTGCTGTTCTTCAAAGAGGACCCCCCTCCCCCAATTTGATATACTGAGTTTCCAACCACATAGTTATAGGAAATGGTGCCATGGGTTTAGTGATCATTTAGCTCAACTATCTGATAGATATCTAAAAAAACAAAGTAGTTTTATGTTCAGTTACATTGACATCTGGCAGCATGTTCGTAAAGTGGGACTCTCCCCCCACCCTCCCCCTCCCCCCCAGGGACCATGGCTCACAGACTGAGGATTGTCAAATCTGTGCCTGGTACTGTGCTTGATGCTAGGAATGTAGATGCAGTCCCCACCCTTACAAAGCCCAGTCCAGCAAAGAACACCGACAGTAATCAGGCCTTGGTCAAGACCACGTTCACAGCTGTTGCCTGAAGGGACGTACTCAGGAGCATATGGGAAGAGCACTGAAGCCAGGCTTGAGATTGAAGACGGCTTGCTGGAGAAAGAGGCCTTTAAGGTGTAGGAGTCTGAAAGGCTTGGGAGGACCCGGCTTCCCACTCTGATCCCTCCTGTCCAGAACTCTAACAAACTGTTCTGTTCTGTTCCGGCCGGTGCAGTCACTGCTGAGAGTAACTCGAAACCTTGTTTTCTGGTACCAGGTACAGTGGCAGTGGCCTTATCAGGGTCTGGACACTTTTATTTGGTAAAATTGGAAATGTGGTTTCTGTTTCTAAATTATTTCATTTTTTTATTTTTAAAAAAATATATATTTTATTGATTTTTTTACAGAGAGGAAGGGAGAGGGATAGAGAGTTAGAAACATCAATGAGAGAGAAACATCGATCAGCTGCCTCCTGCACACTCCCTACTGGGAATGTGCCTGCAACCAAGGTACATGCCCTTGACCGGAATCAAATCCAGGACCTTTCAGTCTGCAGGCCGACGCTCTATCCACTGAGCCAAACTGGTTAGGGCTGAATTATTTTCTAGAAATGAGAACTGGAAGCCCCTTTTTCATTCCAGCCATATAACATTGGAACAAAATTATGGGATGAATTATATTAAATACATCTTTGTAAATAAAAAGCACATTTATAGTAGAAATCTTAGAAGCAATAGAAAAAGTAAAAATAAAAATCACTTCTAATCTCATGGCTCAGAAGATAATCTTTATTTTTAGTTGTTGTTCTCTGTGTGAAATATACATATATTTAATATATATATATATATTTTTTATATTGATTTCAGAGAGGAAGAGGAGAGATAGAAACATCAATGATGAGAGAGAACCATCAACTGGCTGCCTCCTTCTCACCCCCTATGATCCAGCCCGCAGTCTGGGTATATGCCCTGATGGGGAATTGAACTGTGACCTCCTGGTTCATAGGTTGAGTATCAACCACTGAGCAACACCAGCTGGGCTACATACATTCTTTTTTACAAAAGCGAATTTTTCTTTACAGACTTTTGCAGCCTGTTTTTTGTTTGATATATATTGAGCATCTTTTCCCTTAGTCCTTCAGTCCCTACTATGATATCCCTCCTTAGTAATAAGACTAGATGCTGCTTTTTCACCCTCTAAGTCAGTGGTTCTCAACCTTCCTAATGCTGCGACCCTTTAATACAGTTCCTCCTACAGTTCCCCAACCATAAAATTATTTTCGTTGCTACTTCATAACTGTAATTTTGCTACTGTTATGAATCGTAATGTAAATATCTGATATGCAGGATGTATTTTCATTGTTCGCAACCCACAGGTTGAGAACCGCTGCTCTAAGTGATACATCCCACTGACTATTGTCCCCTTAGGGAGGGGGCCATGGGAGGTTATGCTGCAGATAGGCAACATAGGTTTGGGAAATTTTCCTAAATGTAGGGGTGGCATTTTCCAGGGTCCTTTCTTTTAGGATGGGTGAGGGGGTTGCAACACGTCTACTTCCCAGCCCAGGTACAGGGAGTAGAGATGGCAGAGCTTCGGAGCTGAGCTCGGTGTGTAGCATGCGGAAGGGTATGACCAGTACTTATGCTTTATCTTTACTCTATAGGTTTGGGGCTGTGGCTGCAGTTGGCCCCTTAGGAATTACTGTCCCTTGTTATCCAGCAGAATCTGCACTGCCTTTTAGGAAGTGAATGTGTTCGTCGGGGCTTTCTTTGTATTGGTGTGCAGGTCTCCTGGCTGTCCTTCCCCTTCCTGTTTGAGGTCAGTCCATAAGCCCCGGGAAGAACCAGCACTTGCAGTTTAACAGTAAAGCCCTGCCTGAGCCTTGGTGGGGAATGTTGATGGGAACAAAGCACGCCCGACCTCGGGGAGCTTGCTCGTAGCTGACTGCCTTCCTGTTGTTGACCACAATCCCAGGTCTAGCCAACGGGAGAACTTGATGGAATCCGAATTTCTGTGTACCCCTCCTTTCCACAGCTTTTTCACGTGGTTAAACTACTTGCCTCTGTCACAGCGCTGAAAGTGGACGAGGCAGGGGTTAATGTCCTCTTCTCTGCGCTGGCCTTGAACTGACCCACCTCATCGCTTCCCTCAGCTACCTTTGCTCCACTAAATACCTTCCCTACTGTGTGCCAGTGGAGCCATTCTGAAAGCAAGCTCGGATCTCATCTCTCACTCAGGAATCCCCAGGAACTTCAGTCCCCTTGGCCGACCTGCCAAGTCATGTTCAGTACTGCCTGGGCAACCTTTGCAGCCTATTGTTCCTACTTCACACTCTCTGGGCTCCAGACCAACTAAATCACTTGGAGTTTCTTTCCCACTTCGCTGCACCTGCCCCTCTGCCCCTCTGCTCCCACCATTCCCTTCATCCTTCAGTCCCGGCAGGTCCACAGCACACTCCCCCATCCAGGCCCAGCTGAAGTCCCCATGCCTGTCAGCACTCTCTGATTTTCCCTCACCCAGAGGAAGTTTCTTTCTGTGAACTCTCAGAGGGGTATCTGTCTAGGACACCCCACTGTCTGCCTGTGTTCGCCTCTCGGTAGAAAGTATTGCTCTCACCGGACTGTAAGCTGCTTGTAGGCAGGAATGATCTTCAAACCCATTGAAGCTCTCAGTGAGCTGCTTGGCCTTCTGGAGGTGCTTCAGGAAGGTCATGGAGCTGCCCCTTTGAGTGACGGGGACCTAGAGTCTAGTGGTCTGGTGGCAGAGCTGGCCTCAGAGTCAGTTTAACATATTCTCTTCCCCAACTTTGCTCCTTTATCAGGTTTCTCTGGAGCGCACTGTTTTGAGTCTTGAAAGAACTTGAACTCTGGTGTTCTCACTTTCATCTTCTGTGTTCCCCACCTCCCAGGTGCCAGCGACCATGAGATCTCTACAGCTGCTCAGAACCCCCTTCCTGTGCGGCCTGCTCTGGGCCTGTTGTGCCTCAGGTACCAGGGCCGAGCAGCCTGGGGCCGGTTCTTCCCATCACGGCAGCATGGGGCTGGATAAGCACACAGTGCACGACCAAGAGTACGTATTCAGCCAGCGCTGTGGCCGGGGTCCCCTTCCTCTCAGCCGCGATGGCACACTCGGTCCTCTTTTCCTTCTACTCACATTTTCCAAGGATGCTGTGGATTCCTTATATCCACCTGTGAGTCAGGTATTCCCTTTCTCGTCATCTTATCACCAGTGGAGGATCTTGAGGCCCAAATGGGATAAATGACTTGCCTGAACTCATTCTGTCTCACCACAGACAGACACACACACACACGCAGTAGTGGTGGTGGAATCCAGAATAGAGCTAAGGTTTCTTGACTGTGACAAGACCATATTCTTTTTTTATTGGCACAAACATTGAGTCATTTGTTGCAACTTTTGTCTTGGGCCAGAATTGCTTTAAAAAGAAAAGTTTTTTTAATTGATAGCCTCAAAAAATGTTATAGCAACATTCTAGTAATAAAGAGGAAAAATCACTCATAACCTTGCCAGCATAATAAATGCAGTGTTTTATTTTACTCCTGCTCCCTTCACGGCCTTGCCTATATCTGCCATCCTTGAGTGTGGTCTGCCCCTGTTTCTCAATGGATGAGTTTCAAGATTTGAACTTTTAAGAGTCCTTAAGGTTTCGGCATGATCCCACTGTCCCTGCCAAGTGGTCTGAATCTAACTGTTGGTTTCTAGGCATATCATGGAACATCTAGAAGGTGTCATCAACAAACCCGAGGCGGAGATGTCTCCACAAGAACTGCAGCTCCATTATTTCAAAATGCACGATTATGACGGCAATAATTTGCTTGACGGCCTAGAACTCTCCACAGCCATCACTCATGTCCATAAGGAGGTAGGTCAGGCAGTGGTGCACTGGGCAGCTCGCGGAAAGGCCTCCCTTTGGTACTTCAGCACCCTGTCTTGATGGTCCGTGCTGCCCAGTGCAATAGTATTGTTGCTTCTCTTTGTTCTGCTTGCTACTCTGTTCTGTCTCCTCCTATTCAGTGGTCCTTCTTGCAGAGGGTGACCTGCTACAGCTGAAGCCCCAGGGCCTTGTGTCTTTAACAAGACCTACAGGCATTTCTGCTGCATACCAGAGTTGAAAACCAGCACCCAAAAGGCAGACCATGTTCAAGATGCAGAGCAGGGAAGATGTCATTTTATTTTAGAAGAATGGGGAACCAGGGAACCAAGGGACCGAGGGGCTCAGCAATAATGGAGGGTTTGTACAGTGCTGCAAACAAAGCAGTTTGCAAAGCACTTTCAAGTAGGTTAGAGATCTCACCCGATCTTTGCAACAGCCTTTGAGAAGGCAGGGGCTGGCATTGTTACTACCTGATTTTAGAGAGGAGGAAATGGAAATTGAGATCTTTTGTCTTCAGATCTAATGCCTGTTCTGCTCTGCACATTGCAGTGTAGAGAGAGGAGGGGAGGCAACGTTGGTGAGGTGGCTGTGATCACATGGGCGCCAGGAGAGCAGGTTTGGGTTGACTTGGAAGGCCGTGGGCAGCGCTAATAGCTCCATACAGGAGATGGCGTGACGAGAGCAGTGTTTTGGGGACATCCTTTGCTGTGGGAGGCTGACTGTTAGGCATGAGGAGAGTCTGGTCTGAGGAAGAAGAATGGTTCAGAGTCCTGGCAGGCGAGGGTGGTGGTGGCAATAGGAGAGGAAAGGTAGATATGGAAGAGGTGCCAAAGGAAGAATTGTCACAGGATGTGAACAGCGAGAGCTTAGCACTCAGCACAGTGAGCCTCTGGAGCAGGAGAAATACCTTCCCTCAAAGACCCTAACAGGGTCTGCTCTGGTCGGCAGGCTTCTTCCTCTTGTTCTCACCCCAAGGTCTAGTCCAGGTGGACCGTTTCTCACTGTGTCAGGGCAGATTGTGCCCAGAGCTGGTCCTCGGGAGGGCCTGGGCTGTCAGCTTTTCGCTAGGATGGCTTTGTGGGTCCTGGAATCTGTGAAACGCATCATTCTTTTAAAAAAAATCTTTATTGTTGAAAGTATTACATATATCCCCTCCCCCCCACCATTGAACTCTTCTAGCCCACCCCCACTCCCTGCTGAAACACATAATTCTGTGTAAACCATATCTAGCTTTCTACAGTGAACATGGATGACTTTTGTAATTAGAAAAGGCTAAGAAGTAATTTTTAAAATAAATAAGCAAGAGCCTACTTTGATTATATCTTCTAACTGGCAAATATAATTTCTAAATTGGATTGTTATGAATTGACTATATCTGATACATGGCTTGTGGATTCCTAGAAAGTAGCCAGGTCCTACATTGAAGTTTTCAGACATGTACGAGCATGGACATTTTGGAAATTGGCTAAGTACTTCCAATAAAATGTGTCAACTCATTGTCTCATTTAAATTTTGTAGGGAGGGAGTGAACAGGAACCACTGATGAGCGAAGAGGAACTGATTAACTTAATAGATGGTGTTTTAAGAGACGATGACAAGAATAATGATGGCTACATCGACTATGCTGAATTTGCAAAATCACTCCAGTAGACATTATTTGACCATCTCCTAGTTATTATGCAAATGTGACCCATTATAATGTGATTGAACACTTTCAGTAAAGCAGAATAATTCATTTCCAATTACTGCTGAAGTATTTTGGTAAAAACCTGTAGCAAGTGTGACACTGGTGTGAGAAAGAGAAGTCAAGAGCAATGGGACATGTCCCCAAGTACTGTTAAATCTGTTGGACAAGGGCTCGATTGAAGAGTCTTTGTAAGATTATTGGATTATTGGAGCTGAGGACTCAGGAACAGGACTGTAGAATACTGATGTTCTCTTGGTTTTAATTCATGCTGCCTGAAAACTAAGACGAGCTTTGCCAAGTGGACACACTTTTCAGTAACAGTGAAGGAATGGAATCAATGCCAAATGTTCCCCCTTGTGGGTGCTGTCTCTTCAGGAAAATGGTCAGTATTCTGTAAAGTTCCCTGGCTTAAATGATTACTTGCTTTGGGCAAGTGAGTATTGATTAAGCTATTTCAAAGCCACAGCCTCACGTGAATGTCAGATATTGAATTCAGCTAGCCAGAGTCTATCTTCTGGCACTTGGATATGATACACCACTGACCTAAGAGATTAACCTTTTTCAGTTTTTCAATAATTTTATGAAACTACTGCCATATCCTTATACTTTATTTCTTTTATGTCTTCTTCAACCTGGGAGAGACCTTGAATTTAAAACTGTTCTCTAATCAATAGCACATGTTTTAGCTTTCTTAATATTTGTATTTAACTCTTGTTTCTAGAGTTTCGCTTTTGCAGTTTAGAAACGTAGGCATGCAAGGATTTTCCCTTCTGCCTGATACAGCGGGGGTAAAACTGCTAGCTGCCGTCGCCAAGTGCAAGTGAAAAGATCGTTCACCGGGCACAGTGATGAACCTGATACAAGTTGTACTTAGAAGGAGTATTGTTTAAGTGACCCCTTCTAGCCTAAATATGTGAATTCTTTCAGATCAGGAAAGATTGGAAAGAGAAGCCTAAAAACTCAACAGTGTGAGTCTCAGTAATAGCTGAAAGTGAGAAGCAGCAGCAAATTGTGATTTGGTTTTTTGGATGTAATGGACATACTGTGATAGAAATCATAAAATGATGATTGAATGGGGGAAAACTGCATAAAATTTACTGTAAGATGTATAGAGACTTATTTTCTTTATTGAAGTATTCTTATAAGAAAACATGTATTTGTAAAAATGGTTTCCTGTGTCACGTATTTGTGCAATCAGAGCTGAATTATAAACTATTCTTGTAAAATCTAGTTATTTTGGAAGATTTATATAATGAATTCTGGATATATGACCAATAAAACTGATGAAACAAAATAAAGGGCCGTTGATTTTGTCTAATAGGCTTCTTCTCCCATCACCTGAAGGCGTTGTTTATCTGATGCAGATGTTTACCGGTGCCTGCTCTCTGCAGGTCCTGTGTCCCTCCCTGCCTCTACTGCTCCTTTTGCAGGGGTCGATTCCCAGTATTCAGTCACTTTCCTCTTTTAGACATTTTTTTTCTTCTGAATGAAATCACTTTTTAGACCTTTTTTTCCTGGCCAAGTTCAGATTATGACAACATTTTCTGGCTTAGGAAAACAGTGTTTTCTCCTTGAGTCTGGTGACTGTTCTTTCTTTGCTGGAAAATTTAATTAGATAGCATTATTACAAGCCTCCCAGGCCCAAGCAAAAAGTACAGTCCTCTGGCTTTTTGGAAATAACATTTTGTTCTGCCAGTTGAAAAGCAAGGAAGGAAGTTGCCATTGCCTCCCCCCACCCCAGGATCCTTGGATCTTGCACTGGCCCTTCGTCATCCAGAGCTGCCCTTCTGGACGGATCTAGTGAGTGGGCTTATGGTTGGAGGAACTTCATACTGATGGCAGCTAGGAAGGGGGTCAGTGAGGCAGCTGGGAGGAAGAGAAGCAGATCCTTAGAAGGTAGAGTCATCCCGTTAAACAGGATGGACACCTTCCCCTTGCATAGCTGGCTGCCATTGAAAATGATTCCCCGCTGGCCTTTGTGGTCCTGTTAGTCTGCCTTTCCTTATAGAAAGTCTCCCTTGTGGGCGAGGGGCCTGTGACCTTAGGGACACAGCACGATTAGCCTTTTCCCAGAAACCCCTTTACCTCCCCTCCCATCCCCTCTCTGAGGCCTCGGCCTTCGCATTAGCTCACCTCAAGGGTTTTTAGAAACACCTCTGTACTCAGTTTCCTTATATGAGTCAGCCTTATATGAGCACAAGCTTTGGACTTGGGCAGACCTGAGTTGAAACCCTAGGCCTGCTACTCTGTGAACTTTAGTTTCTCATGTAAAAAATAACTTTAATAATACACCTACAGAGTGGCTACGAGGATTAACAAAATGAAGAAAAATATATAAAGCATCTAGCAAGTGCCTAGCAGAGTAGGTGCTAAACACAAACTTACCTGTTCTCAGCCTTGCTGAGGAGCCTGGTCCCGCCCTCAATGAGCTGGAAAAGCAACAAAGAAATTGATGACTCCGCAGGGGCATGGATCTAATAAATATCCATTGTTTGTCGTATAACCTCTCTGGTCTAGTTTCTGGATTTCAATATCTGATGGAGAAGAGAAAAAAGAAAAGCTTCTTTTCTTTTATAAAGTCACATGCCAGACTTCCCCTGAAGGTTCTGAGGGGAACACAAATATTCTTGCCCAATAAAAACATGCTAAATCACATTTGACCTCAAGAGGGAATTCATTATCTCAAGAACCTAACCAAATATCCATCAGGAAATTAGTAGCAGGAGCCATGAATGTTATGTCTGAACTTCTTGGGTGTTAAATAATTATAGGACTTCTGCTTCTGGCAAGATAGACTAGATGTACTTTTCCCCATTCCTCTAAGCACAACAAAACCATGGGGCATTATATATAAAACAAACATAAGAAGACTGAAAGGTGGAGAGAAGTCGGACTGGCTAGGGGCCTTGGGACCTACGCAACAATATGGAGGTAAGTTTCCTGTCTTTTTTTTTCCTCTCTCTCATATATTCTCAGACTTGGAGCTAAGGAAGCCGGCAACCCAGAAATGCCAAAAGGAGCAGACATTAAAAAAGAAAGAAAGAAAATCTGCTTTCTCTAGCCAAAGGATGAAGAAAAGGCCAGCCCACAAGGCAGAAAACTTTTAGACAATAACTTCTCTACTCCAGCCAAACCCTGCAGGGAAATCTCGCCCTGCCAACAAAGGCTGACTGGGGAGCCTGGACGTCCACCCTTGCCAAGCAGTCATGAGGCGCCCCTCCGCCTTCCTGTATCTGAAGTGATGCCAGAGGAGGCCCAGGAGGGAGCTGGGACGTGCATTCTCCTCATGCTCCAGGCATTCACAAGCCCCCTGTCTCCTGCCCACAGGGTCAGTGGAGAACACACAGGGGACCTGGACCTGGGCTCCCCTCCCCTTCCCCCCTGGGTGTTCAGAGGAGGCAAGTGGAGGGTCAGGACCTTCACCACTGCCCAGGGATAACAGGCCCACCTTCCACTGCCGTGTCAGTGGAGGCCATGGCAGGGGTTGGGGGTGTGCGGCAGCGTGCGAACTCCCACCCCTGCCCAGCAGTAATGAGGAGCTCCTGGCCTTGGGTGTCAATGGAGGCCAAGTGGAGAGTCTGGACGTCTCCCTCCACCTGTCAGTACTGAGGCAGCACCCTGCCCTTCCCCTGCCAGAGAGATGTCAGAAAACCAGTTAGAACAGAAGTTTAAATAAGATCCAGTCTCATTACACAATACAAACATGTCCAGATTTCAATAAAAAAATCACTCATCATACCAAGAAACAGGGCATCTCAGACTGAAGGAAAAAAAAAAAAAGATGCCAACACTGAGGTAACAGATGTTAGAATTGTTGGACAAAGGTTTTAAAACAGCCATGATAAAAAAATACTTTAACAATTATGACCATGCATCAAACAGAGAAAAAACCACAACCAAGTCTCAGCAAAGAAATAGAAAATATAAAGAACAACCAAATAGAAATTTGAGAACTGAAAAATATAACCAAATAAAATAACCAAAAGAAAAACATTACTAGAGTGGAGGGGGCAGAGGAAAGAATCAGCGACCTGGAAGATAGAACAATGCTGCAATCTGGCCAACAGAGAGAAGATGGACTAAAAATAAATGTGCAGCGCCTCTGGGACCTGTGGGACTGGAACGAAAGATCTGATATTCTTCCCGCCATCAGAGTCCCAGGAGGGGAGGAAAAGGAGGCAGGAGCTGAGCAGGGATTCAAAGACCTACAGGTTCAAGAAGCTGAGCAAACTCCAACGAGAATAGGCCCAAAGAAATCAACCCCAAGACTCATCACCTTCTGAGAATTACAGACACAAAAAATTTGAAAGTAGTGGGAGTGAAACAATACCTTACCTATAAGAGAAATATGGTTATTTTATGTGGTTATATTTTTCAGTTCATCAGAAACCATGGAGGCCAGAGAGAGGTGGCACAACAACTTCTAAGTGCTGAAAAAAAAAAAAAAAAAGAATCCTCAATCCAGAATCATGTAGTGAAAATATCCTTTGGGGAGATGGAGAAATCAAGATTTTCTTAGACAAAGGAAAATGAAGAGAATTTCTCACCGGCAGACTGACCCTAAAATAATGGCCAAAGGAAGTTCTTAAACAGAAAGGGAACGATAAAAGAACAATATATAATGAGATATTACTCAGCCATAAGAAGAATGAAATCCTGTCATTGTGAAAACATGGATGGAGAGTATTGTGCTAAGTGAAATAAGACAGAGCAAGACAAATGCCAGATGATTTCACTTATATGTAGAATCTGAAACAAACAAAACAAAATAGAAACAAACTCATAGATACAGAGAACAATTCATGGTTGCCAGAGGGAAAGGGAGTTGGGGGGAGGGAGGAGATGGGGGGAAAGAGGAAGGGAATTAAGAAGTACAAACTGCCCTGACTGGTTTGGCTCAGTGGATAGAGCGTTGGCCTGCGGACTGAAGGGTCCCAGGTTTGATTCCAGTCAAGGGCATGTACCTTGGTTGTGGGCACATCCCCAGTAGGGGCTGTGCAGGAGGCAGCTGATCGATGTTTCTCTCTCATCGATGTTTCTAACTATCTCTCTCCCTTCCTCTCTGTAAAAAATCAATAAAATAAAAAAAAGAAGTACAAACTGCCAGTTATAAAATAAGTCATGGGATGTAATATACAGCATAGAGAATATAGAGTAATAACATTATAATGAATAACTAGACTTATTCATAAGGAATATAAATGTTGAAACTAATACAATATGTCAACTATAATAAGAATAAATTTTAAAAAGAAAAATAGTTAAATACAATAGACCTTCCTTCTCTCATATATTTAATATTTGAAGTAAAAATTATAATATGGTCTGATGTGATTCCAAATATAAGTAGAGGAAATATTTAAGACAATGATGTTGCCAATGGGGGAGGGTAAAATCATGTAAAGAAAAGTAAGTTTTTTATACTTAAGATGATGAATGTGAAATGGTACAGGCACCCTGGAAAACAATTTGGCAGTTTCATAAAAAACTAAGCATGCAACTACCATGGGATCAGCAACTGAATCCTAGGGCATTTATATTGGCACAAAAACCTGCACATGAATATTTAGAGCAGCTTTATTTGTAATAGCCCCAAACTGGAAACAACCCTGATGTCCTTCAACAGGCAAACAGTGAAACAAGCCCTGGCACGTCCATTCCACGGGACACTCACTATTCAGCAGCCCAAAGGGACAGACTATCGATATGGAGAGCAACCTGGATGGATCTCCAGAGCATTATGCTGAGGAGAGAAAATGCCAGTCCCAAAGGGTGACACTATAACTCCATGTATACAGAGCTCCTGGAGTGACAACGTTATAGAAATGGAGACCAGATTTGTGGGTGGGAGCAGGAGAGAAGTGGGTGTGGCTATTAAAGGGCAGCAGGCGGGATCCTTGCGGTGATGGAAACGTTCTCTGTCTTGACTGTATCAGTGTTAATATCCTGGGTGGATGTTGTATTATAGTTTTAGAAGATGCTACCCTTGGGGAACTGGGCCTAGGGTACACAGGATCTCCCTATGATTTCTTACAACTGAATGTGTATGGACCTAACCTTTATTTCAAACTAAAATGTTTAATCAGACAGGGTGATGGATGATTACTAGAACTAGTGGGGTGATCACCTGGTAAGGTCTAAAAATGTCGAGTCATCTGAAGCTAATATAACTAATATAATATTGTATACTCAAATAAAAAAATAATTAAAAGTTTAATTGAAAAGCCAGTTTTGAAAGACAAAGTCTTTTCAATACCCCCATAGCAATTTAACCTCGGGACAGAGTGGGAAGGGGCAGTTGGTTGGTGTTCAGGCCCCAGGGGAGATACTGGCTGTGCTCACAGTCTTCTTTGAGAGGCTTTCAGAGAATTTGCTTTGCTCTGCCAGATCATCTGAAAGGAAACATTGCACTGGGCATTTTCTGTCCATGAATTTCTAATTGCCTTCCCACTGGCTGGCTGGGGAAGGACATACAGGCCAGGCCTGCCAAGGCTAACAGGCCCTGCTGCCCAGAGCGGGGAGAAGGTTTGCGGAGGTCCTTGTACCCTGCTGGACGGGAGGATGGGAGGCTGGCCTAGATGGCTGGAGTCCCAGGGACTGAGAGAAAGAGAGTCGCCTGCCCCTGTGGGTACTGGCAAGGGGTGGGGAGGGAGTATGTGGCTGCAGTTGGTGAACCTAAGAGATGCAACAGGTGTACACATGGGGGAGATCTTAGGGAGAGATCTTGACTTTCATGGAAGTCAGAGAACTAAAACGCAGGCAATAGTGATGGCTTATCCCTGAGCAGGCTCTGGTGTTCATAGCTAAATTCTATGGGTGCTGTGGAGAGTGAGAAGGAAATAGTGGGCCCATATCTGAAGGGACAAGGGTGCTAAATCAAGTGTCCCTGGGCTTGCTTTGAAGGGTTTTGGAAGTGCCCATTCTCATAGCCTATGGGTTAGGGGAGCCCAGGACCACATCAATAACAACTTCATCAAAACCCAGCCTTGGGCTGTGCAGCAAGTCCCTGGGTGGGAACACGGTGGTGTAGAAGGATCAGAGCACAGAACAGAGGCTGACGGTGCGGCCTAGAGCTATAGTCAATGACCTCCTCTGCCTCAAGGTGGCTTCCACCCTTTAGCTAGAGCACACGTGTGCCTGTCTCTTGATTGTTCTGATAACATTTCTCCCCCTCCACGAAGGTGGACATACCCAGGCTATAAGGCCCTGCCTATCGGCCATAGTTTCAGAGCAAGGCCCTGATACCACTCAAGTTGGGCCAACACATTCTCTCTTCCAGAGATTTGATGTTTGGGACTGAGGGACACAGCAGTAGGAAGGCACGGGGGTGGAGGCATGGAGTGGGGCCCTTGCTACTGAATGTGTGGTCCGAGGACCACCAGCATCTCCTGGAGTTTCATGACGGCTCACCTCAGGCATCACCCCAGATTGGCTGAGTAGGAATTTGCTCTTTACCAGGTGCCCCGTGACATGTGAAGAAGCACAGCTCTAGAGAGAAGGTCCCCAGACACCTCTTGCCAAGAGGCCTGAGCTGCCCCCTTCCTGCTGCTCTGAGAAGCGTGGTTCCACCCTTCCTTGGATCCCAGTGGAATCCTATTGAATTGTCTTTTTCTGAGTCTGGGCAACTTGGTTTCTATGCTGTTTATAACCCAGGGGACCTTTCGAATGCATATGGGCAAGTCAGGGGGGACAGTGTGATTGAAGGGCAGGCTGACCCCATGTGCCACATCAACCAAATTTCATCAACAGATGCTCTGTTCACAGGTGCTCTGAGTCTTGAAAAATTCTGAAATGGAGGTGGTGTTAGTCATTTATCTTTTAGTATGAATGCCTTTTCAGGTTCTTTCCTAAGGGACCCATTTGCTGGGCTGGACATAGGAGAAGTCATAGAAACCCATGTTTATACTGTGGCAAAGCCTGTCTCTGCTCCCCCAGGTAAGGCCTGTGTTGAAATTGCTCCATGGGCCCCTTTTAATAAAGTATGAAAATAATTATGACAATTATATCTTAATAAAACTGAAAGAAAAAAAGACATCCATCCCCTATCACCTGGGAAGTCTTCTCTGATCGTCCAGCCTGTGGCCATCTGTCCCTTCTCTGAGCCCCCGGAACAGCTGTTCTTGACCTTTTGTGTCCTTGGACTCCTTTAAAAAATAATATGTTCAAATGCATTAAGCACACACACACACACACACACACACACACACACACAGGATTTCAAAGAAACCAATTATATTGAGATACATATATCAGAATATTTTAAAAGGGGAACGATTTAGTAACATATGCTTCATAGTTAACATTAATAAGACCTAGCAGCAGGTTAATAGTTGCTTTAATTTCACAGTGTGATGCGTAAATGATTTGCGATACCCGTAACAACTATACTATGATAGGAAAATATTTTATAATTGCCATGAGTGATGAAGTCACACATTCTGATGATACCACCACAGTTTTTTGCTTAATTTATAATTGAAGAAAATGCTAAATTTCATTCTGAGGTTTGTGAAAACAAAGATGTGATTTTTTCCCCCACCTAATTCCATGGGTTCCCTGAAGTGAATCTAGGAAGGGTTGATAGCAATAAATAATTATAACCACCAAATGATAAGTGTTTAAAAAACTGCAAGCCAAATAGATGTGTATTAAAGTAATATTCCAGTTCCCATCGCTCCTCGGCTGGCCATTCCCCGGGGTCTGCTCCTCTTCCACGTGGCATTGTTTTGGCAGGTGCTAGGTATGCGGTTCGGTGGACCTGAGTCTGTCTTGTCTCCTGGACTACCCGCCTCCCTCCAGTGCATTTCAGGGACTGGGCCCAGCATTTGGTGACTCTCTGCCTGTGATGACTCTTTGAATGCCAACATTTTAAGATTCTGGGATTTTTTATCATCGATCCTGACTGTTGAACCCCTCAGTAGGTCTGATACAGAATTTGTCTTTGGCAACATTAACCACTAGATGGCAGCAGCATCTCATAGAATGTCCATTTCCAGCCCCTAGTATCCCTTCCAAGGGCTATTTATTATTTTAGAGTCAGTTCTATTTTACTCCTGAAAACCCAAGCTCACTCTCCCTCCTGACCTCCCCTCACCTGCGTGGATTTCCCAGACAGAGTCATCACTGCATTCTTTTGTTCTGTCAGGAGGCAATGCAGAACAGTGGAAAAACACGGGTAGGTCAGTAGACTATCCAAGGTCCAGCTCATCTGCATTCACTGAGCACCTAGTCTGTGTCAGACCTAATGCTACGCTTCACTTACTAGACACACTGTCCCTGTCACAGGTGCGTGGCCCCGCACTGAGGATGAAGGGGAGTGTAGCTGTGGTCTTTGGGGGGAACGGAGAAAGGTTTAGTTAGAGCTGGTATGAGCATGCTCTCACAGGGCTGTTCATGCCACTTGGAAAATTTAAGTCACAACAGACTCTGACTACAATGAAGCTAACATATGTATGTGGACGAAGCCCAAAGGTGACATGTAAATGTGAAATCAGTGGCTGTGATGGAGTTGGAAAATGGCGGTCCATACAAAATGCTCTCCGCTAATTGCTCTATCCTATTGCCATTTTATAATTAGAAAAACAAAAAGGTTAAAAACCATATAATGACTGATGCTGGCAAGTACCCCAAACCTATTGCATGTATTGTTGGTAGATGAACCGGGTTTGGTGAGAGACCTTTTTGTAGATGGTGTATGGGTGGCTGAAATGGCGGGAACACAGAGCGTTTCCATGTGGGATTCGCTGCTCTGTTTGCTTCAAGGTGGGACAAAAGCCTTTAATTTTCAAGTTCAAGAGGCAGGCTGGCCCTAACCGGTTTGGCTCAGTGGATGGAGCGTCAGCCTGCGGACTGAAGGGTCCTGGGTTCGATTCTGGTCAAGGGCATGTACCTTGGTTGCGGGCACATCCCCAGTGGGGAGTGTGCAGGAGGCAGCTGATCAATGTTTCTCTCTCATCGATGTTTCTAACTCTCTATATCTCTCCCTTCCTCTCTGTAAAAACTCAATAAAATATATTTTAAAAAAAAGAAAAAGAGGCAGGCTGGCTGCCATCAGATGCTCCCATGGACTCCAGAGCGCAGAGCAGATAGATCCACAGTCTTCTTAACTGGATGTGACTCCCTCCTTTCCACACGATCCTTTACAAGGGCAACAGGACGGGTTGACTCATCTTCAAATCCCTGAATCAAATGGCCACGAGAAGTCCCACCCATTCACCACACACATTCACATACAATCACGCAACAAGGAAACAACTCAAAAACCAGCCAGTATTGTGAGGGTCAGGAGTCTCAGGCCTGGGGTTCGAGGTCCAGGCTTCACAAAGCCTCAGTTACCACCTCGTAAATTGGGGATTATCTGGTGCCTATTTCACAGGATTATTGTGGGGACTAAGTGTAAAGTGATTGGCATGGAACCTGGGCATTTAGTGATAATTAACCAATAAACTATATATTGATATGCTGTTGGGTATGTAAAATGTATATATGGATATGCTGTTGGGCATGTAAATTGTATATATTGATATGCTGTTGGGCATGCAAATTGTATATATTGATATGCTGTTTATATTTTAAGAAAGTCTTTTTTAAAATATATATATATTTTAATATATTTTATTGATTTTTTACAGAGAGGAAGTAAGGATGAGTGGGACCCAGTCTCACTCTCAAAGAGTAGAATATTTAATGAGCTATTGTGAACCTGAGAGAGATATGAGTGTATGTGCACTCACATGTCATATTTCATCGATTCTACAATGTACTTTTTCATATTTTAACATCTTTGACTTTGGCAACACTTTTTCCCCTGGTGGTAAATGAAATAATGGTGTGGCTGACAATCAGAGCAATCTTAGATTTGGTGAAAAACAGTATAATCTTAAAGACCTTTAGGAGAAGGAGTAGGAGGGGCCTTTGGGGTCACTGGACTGATCAGCTTCTTGGTGGCTGAGGGCTGGGTGTACCTGAACTCAGTGCAGGTCCAGGTCTGTGTTTAGAATGCAGGCCCTGCTCCAGAGGATCCGGCTGAGTGGGGCTGGGGGTGGAGTCCTAGGTGATTCAGGTAGCCCTGCTCCCTCCCTGGTGCGAGGGGGTTCTCTGTTTTCAGGGAGCATCTCAGTCATGGTGTCAGGAAATGGTCTTTACCTAAAACGGGGGCACCTGCATTTGCTTCCAGATGCTACTGACCCAGTAGTGTGCTGCAGCTATAGCTCTTACAGGTTAGTGTGAATCAGCCACGGGGGGTGGGGAGGGGGCAGTATTTATACCATAGCAATTGGCAAGCCCTACAAATCAAGAAACCAAAGCTTGCCCTAACCGGTTTGGCTCAGTGGATAGAGCGTCGGCCTGCAGACTCAGGGGTCCCAAGTTTGATTCCGGTCAAGGGCATGTACCTTGGTTGCAGGCACAAAACCAGTAGGGAGTGTGCAGGAGGCAGCTGATTGATGTTTCTAACTCTCTATCCCTCTCCCTTCCTCTCTGTAAAAAATCAATAAAATATATTTTTTTTAAAAAAAAGAAATCAAAGCTTTTTTTTCCCCTCCCTCAGAGAGTCTGTTTACTAGCACACCACTGTGACTTCTTAGCTGGGTGACCTTGAGAAATAATATCACCGAAAAGGACTCCGAGCCTCTGCCTGCCCATCTGAAAGGAGCTAATTACATTTCTCACCTCTCAGACTTGCTGTGGAATAAACAAATCTTCAAGTATGAGAAGACATCTAGTCCAGTGCTAGGCTCTCTCAAAGTATAGTTTATTCTTTAGCTTCAGGAGTTTCCTGTAATGCTTTCTCCTTGGGAACTTGCCAAGAAGAAAGTGAAATGAAATGTACAGTCTTCATGATATAATTCAAGTCTCCGTGTGGATAATTAGCATTTAACAGTAAAGATAATAACTAACTTTATATCACCTTTTACAGTTTAACACCCTGTATTTAATGCGACATTTTAAACATGGCCGACCTCGATATCCCCATTTGTCAGATGAGAAAACCAAGACTCAGAGAAGTTAAGGGACCTGCTCCGTGTCCTGTGGCTGCGGTGAGGCTGGAACCACAACTTCTGATGTACCCCCCTCCCACCCCCCACCCCCACCCCAATCTCATCACAAGCAGAGCCTGTGTGGGTGGGTGGGTGGTGTTAAAACAAAACAAACCTCAAGTCCCACAAGGTTCCTGCTTGAAGCTTAAAGTTTAGTTGGAAAAGTTAAACACCCACAAGGGAATCACTTGAGAATGACGACCAAGCAGAGTCACAGAGGGTGCCGTCAGCAGATGGTTTCATGAATTCACTTAAACACATGGAGGGCAATGCAAGATCAGAACCTTTCGACTGGCAACACGGCCCAGACATTTCCTTTGTGTTCGTGACTGCGCTGTGGTTTTCCTAACACCGCTCCGTGTTTGCAGGGGGACGGCTCAGGGCTGAGGCGGCAGCATTTTTCTCTTTCCCTTGGCTACAGTTAGGCTCTTGGTTTTCTCCAAGACAAATACTAAATTCTTGAAAGCTGAGACCGTCCACCCTGGGTGTGAATGTGGATGGTGATTTAGTGTTTGGTTTCTCCAACTATGAACTTTATTGCCCAAACTGCTCATTGACTTATGAGCTGATTAAAAGGAAGGGAAAAAACCTCTCCCAGCTGAAGACACGCACCAGACTTTCCCAAAGTTTAAATAAAGTTGAAATTCAGCAGCAGTTTGGCTGCGGTTGAGGAAAGGGAGTTTGAGCCAAATGCAGCCTTGGAATTAAAAAGGTGTTAAATGGTCCAGCCTTGCACCTCCAAGGAATACAACATCTTCCCTTAAAACGAGCTTCCGGTCCTGGCCAGTGTTGGGAAGTGGTTAGAGCGTCAGCCTGCACACCAAAGTGTTGCAGCTTCGATTCCCCATCAAGGGCATATATGTAGGTTGCAAGTTTAATCTCTGGCCCTGGTGGGGTCGGGGACCAATCCATGCCTCTCTCTGTCTCTCTTTCCCCCTCCCTCTGTTCCATTCTTTCTAAAAATCAATGGAAAAAATGTCCTCTGGTGAGAATTAAAAAAAGAAAAGAGCTTCCAGTTGATTCTCTCAACCTTGAACTTTGCTGAAAAGATCAAAGCAATTATTCAAGTAATTCAGGAATCCAGACGGAGCAGAGGAGACCTGGCTATAAGGTTCTGGGGACGGTGCAGCTTGATCCTCATGATCGGCGGCCTGATCGTGCCACCCACAGGCCACCTGGGCACACAAGTCCTCTGGGTCTCTGAACTCTCACCTGTCGGCGAAGGGGTGGCTTTTCCCGGGCTTCCCATGGAGGACTGGGGCTGAATCTTGCACTGGGTTTGAACGTTCCTTCCCTCCCCAAAACGCGTGCGCCATTCGAAGGGGAAGGCCAATTAGTTCCCACACGTCCTGACTTTTATATTCACACACCCACAGAGGAAGAGCCTGTCAAGAACGTTTTCAACTTTGAAGATTCTGTGATTAAGATGTTTATGATTCAAGCACATTTTGAAATACTAAAATCATTTGGTTGGGGAATATTTGTTGCTATGGGAAAATAGTCACCGTCTAATGCTGTGTGTAATAATAATGACACTGACACCTGAAACTCATGTACTAAAATGCGAACCCTCTCTGGGCTTCGAGATGACAGGTGACTTGTGTTGTATTTTTAAATCTTCCTGCATCACCTGACATCATAATCACTAGTGTCTACCCAGATAAACGAACCTGAGTGTAGGGTTTGCATCTAATGTATTTCTTGATGTATCCCATAGTGCTAAGTAAGAACCTTGTCAGGCATACAGAAGGCACTAGATAACTATTTGCTGAAGGAATTAATGAATGCATTTCTGGGTTGTATGAGCTGTACAATGAGCCCATATGACTTTTATTATTATTGAAAGGTAGGGAGAGCAATACATGTTCATGTAATAACATGAGCTGCAGCCTGATGAAAATTCATATCCTTAAATGCTTTTATTAGAAAACAAACATCAACAACCGATGGAGGTCTGAATATTGTGTAAGGAACCAGATGTTGGACAGGGATCATGCTGTGTCACTTTAGGAGAAGACATTGTCAAGGCCAGGACCCCCAGCGTGCGGAGGCTGAGAGCATGGAATCTTCCCCAGAGTCGGCTGGACACCCGCGCACCTGACCTCGAGCCACCCCAGGGCTGATCTGGCTGGAGCAGGGAGGGTCGACCTTTAAATTGGGTGAGAGTTTGAGGTTTTGCTAATCAACTGAGCTAGACTTTTCTTTATAAAGTATGGGACTATTTATTAGAAAGCTATGGAGTCCGCCTGCAATGCCAGGGGAAGAACACAAGTCGCTAGAGGCCCCTCTGAGTCTCTGCTCGCACCCTCCCGAGGCAGCTCACCACGCGGATGGGTTCCCCTTGTGAGGAGGTAAGGGTCGCTCTGTGCTGGAGGGAGCTTGGTTGACTCGAGTCCCGGCTTCGTGTGAGCCCCCTGCCCAGCGCAGTCCTGGTGCCCGCTGCACGCCGGAGGCGGTCAGCAAAGGCTTGTAAATGAAATGAAAGGCGCTCCTCTGGCAGCCGGGGATGTTCTGCGAAGGGCAGGGGAACAAGAAAGCAGGACCAAGAGGACGCATGCATGTATGACCACCGCCTGGAGGGGCAGCATTGGCGTGCATCGGTGGGAACCCCAAACAGATTCAGCCTCTGGGCCCAGAGCAGGAGCAGCTGCTGCTCCCCCGGTACCATGTCCTGGCCGCAGGCCGCCTTCAGGGTCTTTGTCACCGTGGGGAATGGGAGTCAGCAACGTGGAGCATGAGCCTGGGCAGAAACTCTGCCCTATTTCCGGGTCCCCCTACCAGGGTGCACTTGCTGAAAGCTTGCTGTTTGATTCATCGATTGGCAGGCAGGGTGAGGCCTAGTGAGCCCTCAACCTTGGCTGCATGTCAGAATCACTTGGGTGGCGTTTAAAGCTCCCAATTCCCAGGCGCCACTGGGACAATTACATCATCAATCTCTGCGGTGGGACCCAGGTGACAGGGTCGTCGAAAGCCCCTCCAAACCTCCCGCTTCCAGAGTTGATACCCATGAGCCCCCAAGGTTGGGAACCAGGGATGCACCTGAGCTCCAGCCCTGCGTGCTGCCCGTCCTGGCCCGCTCCTGGCCCTGGCTGACTCCGAGGTGCTCTCTCAGGACGCTGTCCGGTTTAATGAGCAGGTGTGAGGCTGGGTGATCCCCGCTCGGAGGCTGCCTCTGGCTGTCACCATGGTCACCAGCTCGGCTGATTCCTCACAAGTGTGATTTACGAGGCAAAAATTTCTCTCTTCATAAATATGTCCTCTGTTCCTGTCACGAAGGGTAATTGAGGCTTTTAGCTTCTGTGTCACAGCCCTCCCATTTCCTCGTGTGCCTGGTGGAATTGCCTGTGGGAATTAAGTCATATTCTCAGCCAGTGAGTAACGGAGAGGCTATGGATTGGGCACCCAGGCCAGCCGACTCGGCCAAAACCCGATCCCCAGAGAGCACCTCCTCCCGCCCCAGGCCCCAGGCCCCAGGCTCTCAGCCACCTGATTAGACTAGTGGGGCAAAATGACTTCTGCTTCCTCGTCTGTAAAAGGGGTGACTCTATTGACTCCTGGGGGTCATGTTCACGGTCAAAGGTGCCTGGTGGGCAATGCATTGTTTATTTGAACCACCTACCTAGGCTTCCATTTCCCTCCTCTCCCCACCTGGCCCGGGCGCGCGCGTGCACACACACACACACACACACACACACACACACACACCTGCACCCGCAGTGGGGGCTGAGTAGCTGCTTGAGCACTGAATTCCGGGATCCTGTGAGTTAGGGCTGTTGGGGATTGTAGGGCTTCCCTTTACCTGCCAAGAAGCTGAGCGCAGTCCATACCAAGGGCTCTCCCGTACCTGAGATGGGAACGCTGGAGCGACAGCTCCTCAGGCTACCTTCTCATCTCATCTGCAGCCCTCTGTGGTTAGACCTAGGGATAAAACATATGCCCTTTCAACAGACAGATGAGGAAATGGGGCCCAGAGAAGTTAAGCTGTTTGTCCAGGTCATGGAGCGAGTGCCCAGCAGGTGACCCTGGGCCCTCGGCCCTTTCACTGGAGGATGGACACCCTCTTGGGAGTAGAAACTTGGAGGGAGAGAGCCTGGCATTGGGAGCCGGGTCAGGGTACTGAACTCAGAACTCAGAGACCTGGAGATGGGGGAGCAGGGTACCCGGGAAGAGAGAGGATGGGGCAAGAGTCCCCAGGGTTGGTCCAGGCCAGGCCCCCTGCTCCAGTGCAGCAAAGACACCAGCTCACCAGGGAAACATGGCCAAATGCTGACCAACGGTGGGTCTGTCCTCCAGAAAGAGCCCTGCAATCCTGCAATCCTGCAATCCTGGTGGTGGGCCCAGGAGCCTGCAGCAGGCGTGTCAGGGAGAGTGTGAGAGGTGGGGCAGGTTTGGAATCCCGGCTCTCCCAGCTACCCGTGGGCGATCTCATCTGTCAGGTGTGGGTAATTGTATCATTCGCAATGGGCTGTTATGAGGATTAATTGAGTTAACACAGAAAAAGCACTTACAAAGTTCCAGGCCCAGAGCAAACACGGCGTAAGTGTCTACCATCATCTTATCGTCCATGAACGTGCCGGCACATGGCAGGTGCCCCATGCTCAGTGAACGTGAATTTATCAGTCCTTCTGCAGGGAACGGGGACAGCAGAGCCCTCTGTCTCTGGATGCCCCTCCCACAGCCCCACCTGCCGTGTCCGTGGCCTGATCGAGGTGGACAGCAGTGCCCGGCAGCCTCAGCCAGGGTGCAGGTTTAGTTCAGGCAGGTGTGGAGGACATTCCGTCTGTGCCTGTTATCTGTGTGTTTGTTTGGTGGTGTTTGGGCAATCGATTTATGGGTGAAATATTGTGTTATTTTTGTTTTCATTTGTATTTCCCTGAATACCAGTTCTAACTGTATTTACTTTGCTCTCCTTCGGATCTCCACCCAGCGGCATGTGTGATTTTGACCAGTGTGTGAGGAGCTGCGGTTTACAAAGCCCCCTCACATAGAAGAGCTATCGCAGTCCTCCCACCAGGAGATGGAGTTTGCTTGTTGCCCTCACTTTGAGACATGGAAACTGAGGCTAAAGACATTAAATGATGGGCCTGAGATGCAGTGGCCTTGCACACTGACCTAATGTCCCAGCCTGCCTGGTGCTTTCCACCAAAACACCTTTCAGCCTGACTTTTAAATAACTCCAAGCTTACAAACTTTAACTTCTTTTCTTAAGATTATTTTTAAAATGTGTATCTGTATATTTTAAACATGTGGTTACCTTTTTTTTTTTTTTTTTTTTACACGGTCGTCCTATCACTTGAATGGCTGCATAATGTTTTACTATGATTTACTCGTCAGCCTCAGGTCATTGCTCAGTCAGGCCATTCTGGTCTTGCTGTGTTAGAAGTGAATCTCCCGCAATCCTTTGGGGCCAGAGCAGTTTTCTTCCTCGGAATTGATTCCTTAGAGCAAATTCACAGGAATGGGAAGAAGGGCTCAGTGAGCCGGAACATCTTTATGACTCTTGAGTCACCTTGGTGTTCTTGACCTTCAGAGGAACCAGGACTATTTACTCCTTACCCTTCAATAGATGCATTCATTGCTCTGTTTAGCCATCCTTCCATCCACCCACCTAATATATACTGCACTTCCTCTAAGCCTTAGATACATGACGGGAGTCCCAGAAAAGAGTGTGCTCCAGGATATGTGAGTGACGCCCTTGCCCTGCCCTCTGTTCTATCCCTCAGTTCCTGTTCTTTCTTACGCCAGCCCCTCGGCAGCCCTGGCTCCCTGAGCAGCATGTTCCCAGGCTCTGGCCGGGCCTCATTGCCCTCAGCCAACTCCCTCGTTGATGCTGGCAGTCTTGGCTCTCTCGGCTTCCCTTTGCTTATTTTGGAAGGTCTGGCCATTTAGCTGCAGCCCCTGGAGTCATTTGGTTCCAGCTGTTTCCCCAGGGCTTGGCTGGTGCAGGGCCTGTGCTGGAGACAGCCAGCCTGAGTTGGGGGAGGTCAGGTCCCTGGGCGAGAGAGAGGAGGGCAGTAGCCCTGGGACGTCTTCAGAGGCCAGTGGCCTGTTGTGGGAGACTTGACTGTGGGTGAGCTTGGTCCTAGTCACCCCTTGGAAGTCATGTTTCTGAGATGCTCCACTTCTTCCACCTATAGCCATGGCCCACCGACCCCAGGTTGTCACAGTGTGTGTGTGTGTGTGTGTGTGTGTGTGTGTGTGTGTGTGTACATATTGGTAAACACTGGAAATACTAGAAGGGACTATGTTTTTTTCTCCAAGAAAATCTTGACAATGAGTTTTCTTCTATTTTTGAAAATTATTTATTCATTTATTGATTTTAGGAAGACAGAGGAAAAAACCACACATCTATTTGTTGTTCCACTTATTGATGCATTCACTATTAGATTCTTATATGTGTCCTGACCGGGCACTGAACTTGCAACCTTGGTCTATCATGATGATGCTCTAACCAATTGAGCTACCTGACCAGGGCAACAAAAAGTTTTTTAAAATAAAGAAAAAAACCCACAAAAACCTTTGTTTCTTTATTAAATAAGTCAAATATTGCCATGGTGGAAAGTACAGATGAGCAATAAGAAAAATCACCTCTGGTCTCACTACCCAGGGGTGCCAGGCTAACACAGGGTGTACACCAAGCATGTCAACTCAAAAACTAACATGGGCCAAATAAATGAGGCATTCGGCCCACGTGCCATGAGTTTGACATGCTTGGTGTACACCCTTTGAAGGAGAGTAGTGTGGGGTCAGGACAGGGACTTTGCTGGGTCCGGGAGGGGGTGAGGCCTGAGGCATGGATTAGGGCCAGAGCGTTCTGTGTCCCCAGGAGCTATTAAGGGAGATCATGGACCTTAGCCTCAGATCTGGGGTCAGAACCTGACCCTGGCCACTTCCTGGCTGTGTGATTTTGGACAAGTCACCCAACTTCTTTGTACCTTCCCTTGCTCATCTGTCAAATGGGAACAATAATATCTACCTCATGGGATTGAGAGTGACCATGTCTCAGGCCTGGCACGTGGTAGCAGCTGTCCAACAGCTGTCAGCCCCTCCCCAGCAAGTTTGGGTGTTCTCCTGTGAAGCCGTATTTTAAGCAGGGGAGGTGAAAGGTTATTTCTTATGACTGCCTCTTTGAAAACCATTTTCAGGATCACAGGACACAGTGCTGGTCAGGTGTGAGGGAATGCATGCTCTCATAGGCTGCCTGAGGTGGAGGAAGCGTTCGTTGCTACAATTTTCTCTCACTCGCAGAGCAGGTAGGTGGTATGCTTAAAAAATCGTTTAAAATGCCAATACCTACCCTTTAGTCCAGCAATGCTACTGTAACTTATCTAATGGAGATCATCAGGAAGATGTATGTGCACAGTGTTCATTCATAGTGTCGTTTTCCATGTAAAAATGACAAGCTAAATGGCCAACAATCGGCACATGTCTCTAACTCTGACACATCCTTCAATGGAAACACTGCCAGCAACAAGTGAAATTTTAGATCTAGGTTTATTAACATGAAAAATGTTGGCAATATGCTATTGAATAAAAATAGGTTACAAAGAAAGGATGTGCAGTTTGATTTCATGTTTGTAAAAAATGTCTTGGTAGCCACATTTGGATAGAATATGTTTTGGGACATTTCTAAGACCCTCATGCTTGGGGTAAGGCCCCCTGAATTCCTTAAACTGCATTTCCTGAAGCCAGCTCCAGGAGGCGATAGTTACAGGTCGCCAAACACCACAACCAATTCAGAAACAAGCCCTTCTGCTTACAGTGGTTCTCAACCTTCCTAATGCTGTGACTCTTTAATACAGTTCCTCATGTTGTGGTGACCCCCAATTTCATTGTTACAAATTGAACATAATTAAAGCGTAGTGATTAATCACAAAAACAATATGTAATGATATATGTGTTTTCCGATGGTCTTAGGCGACCCCTGTGAAAGGGTCGTTCGACCCCCAAAGGGGTCGCGACCCACAGGTTGAGAACCGCTGGTACAGGCTCATGTTCTTCAGAATGTTCCCCAGCTCAGAAAACAGACCCCTTGCTGCCTCGGTTTCCCCAGGGTAGAGTGGGGAGGCATACGAAGGAGACCAGTTGCTCTCAACCCACTAAGCTGAGGGGAGTTCAGGCTTCTACAGAGGCAGGGTCACCAAGGCTAAATGGGGCTCTTTCCACTAACTGCAGGAAACAGAGAGGAAGGTCAAGGTCAACACTGGCCTTGGGACATTAGCCCAAAGGTATTACAACACACTCAGTATGTGCACCCACTGGGCTAGGTGTACAAAGAAAAGTGAGCCACAGCTCTGCCCTGGAGAAGCTCGGTCCGGCCCTGGCTCAGTTGGTTGGAGCATCTTCCTGTACACCAAAGGCTGCAGGTTCAATCCTCGATCAAGGCACATCTCTAGGCTGTGAGTTTGATTCCCAGTTGGGTGGCATGTGGGAGGCAACCAATTGCTGTCTTTCATATCGATGGCTCTCTCTCTCTTTCTCTCTCAAAATCAATTAAAACATATCCTTGAGTGAGGATTTAAAAAACTTTTTTTAAAAGCAGCTCAGCCCTAGCCAGTTTGGCTCAGTGGCTAGAGTGTGAGCCTGTGGACTGAAGGGTCCCGGGTTTGATTCTGGTCATGGGCACGTGCCCAGGTTTCAGGCTTGATCCCCATTAGGGGGCGTGCAGGAGGCGGCCCGTCAATGTTTCTCTCTCATCACTGATGTTTCTATCTCTCTCTCCCTCTCCCTTTCTCTCTGAAATCAATTATATATATATATATTTTAAAAAGCAGCTCAGTCTGGTGGGAAAACAGAATCCAACCTTGATGAGGTGCCTAGTTAGAAGAGGGGCTGACTCAGAGGAGGAAGGACTGACTCAGAGGAGGAAGGAGGAAAGACCTTGCTGAGGAGGTGACTCCAGAGCTGAGGAGGTGACTCCAGAGCTGGTCTCACAGGGTAAGGACAGGTTGTGGGGTGGGGCGCAGCAGGGCAGAGGCCCAGAAGGGCTGTATATTCAGAAAATCTCTCCCCTCTCCGATCCGCTGGGCACCTGCTTGATTCTCCTTCTCTCAGGAGCTGCCTTTGCTGCTTTCTAGTCCACAGAGTGGGGAAAACAGCCTCATCTTTATATGGCTCTGGTCAGGGGGACCGTTGGCCCGAGGATGGAATCTTAGTCCCAATTCCCATCTCCCGGTTCTGTGCCCAATCCTGGCCTTGTAAACTGTGTCCAGGGGCAGGGGCAGGGGACATGCTGTAGGGACAAAGTTGATGAGAATTAGGCAAAGGGAGGCCCCAGGAAGAGGGAGAGGGGTGAATGCAGTGCTGAGTGGACAGGCCCTCCATCCTCTGGTACCACTGAGGGATGGGTCCTGAGGCTGATGCCTGTACTACTCACGGCCCTGTTACCTTTAAGACGTAGCTTGTGATGGAGGAACAGTCATTTCTACCCCAGCTGTGTAAGGAAATGGTAATTTTCCAGGTACGTGCTGCACCATGTGCACTCAAGGGAGTTCAAGCACCCACGTACACACATGCATGCAAGGACACACACACATGCACACTGCACACACACACACACACACACACACAGGTAAACTCACATGCCCAGAGCAGCTGAGAAAAGCCAGCTTCTCCCAAGGCCCAGCCAGATGCTTCCTCCTGGGATCATCTGCACTCGCAATGCAGGGTGACTCACTCCTGTGACTCACCGGCTGCAGGGCCTCAGGTCCTGCTGGCAAAGGGCAAACATCTCATTACTTGTCCTTTATGTCCTTTGAGATGAGGGTCCCCCAGGCTGGCTTCCACCTCCCACCTGAGGGAGCCTGGAGGGGAGCAGACATGAATGCTGGAAGTGGGGAGCATCCTAGAGAAACTCCCCCCCCACCCTGTGCTCTGGGGGCGGGGGTAGGGACGGTTCAGGGGGGGGTACTTTATGAAAGGACTTACGGGAGATGTATTTCAACACAGCATTCCCCACTGGGCATTCAGAACAGGGTATGGTTACCCCAAAACCGATTTCCTGGCAGCTTTTCAGGAATCTGCTGATTGTGCAAAGCGAGGTTGGAGGGTAGCGGGTGAGGAATATCTAGCGGGGAGCAGACATTCCCAGTTGAAAGGTCAGAGAGGGTCTTGGACCATCAGAGCCACTTCCTACCACCGCCTTGAGCACATCCCAGTTCCCCTGACAACACTTTGCCCCCTCGGCCCCTCCTTCACCTGCCATGCCGCACCAACTGGGTCCTAACAGGGAACTCTAGAACCTTGATGTTGAAAGGAAGCTCTGAGAGCCAACATTTTTGTTTGCAGGCAAAAACACGGAGGCCCAAAGAAGTGACATGCCTTCCCCTAGACATCCAGGTACTCAGTGACTCCCCTGGGACAAGAATGCAGGCCCCTGCCATCCCAGTTTGGGGACTGTGCTGCCTCAAAAAGCAAGCCGACCCCTCCGAGCAGCCCCGACCCTGAGGAGCTGCGAGTGGGGATTGGCCTCTGCGCCTCACCTCTGGGTGCTCATCTGCACAATGAAGCACAGTATCCGCCCCAAGGGAGGCAGGCTGGGCCTCCTGCTGCACAGTGCCGACACACAGTAGGTCTCCACAGAGGCGCGGCAGGGGACGGTGCAGCACTGGGGCCACGCAGTCCAGAATCAGGAAGTTTATTGGGGGCGAGGAGCCAGGATTCACCACAGGAACCGCTGTTTCCTGAGAACACTGTGTTCCCAGAGGCCTCCCCTGCTCTCTCCTCAGAATGCCGTCCACCCCGCCCCACCCCCACACAGTCACCCATCCCTGCACGGTCAGCCTCTGCTTCCAAATCTGTGTCCCCAGCCACGGCCGCCCTCCTGAGAACCCGCCCCACAGTCCCGCTGGCCAGCTGGACCTCGGCCTGGGCTCTCACATCCTCACCCCAAAGACAGAAGGTCTGAAGCACTCTGGTCTTCTGCGTGACACCCGTGGCTTGTCAGAGCTGCCTTGGTGTGGTTACAGCTTGTGTTAGAGGACAGGAACGCGTCTGATCTAAGTCCAGGTGCTCCGTTAGCTCCGAGGGGCACAGGACACACGCTTCCTCTCCACCTCTCCAGCACTGCCTCCGGCCCATCACCTGTCCTCCAGCCCATGTCTCATTGCTCTTGGACTTGGCTGCCTCCCTAAGTCCAGTGCTGCTGGCATCGGAGGCCATGTGTCAGGGAAGGCCTGGGCTTTTTAGCTGCAAACTCCCAAGGGCCAAAGACACAATCTTTTTATCTCCACAGGCTCAAGGACAAAGTCTCCCTCCTTTTCTCTTTCTTTAAAAAATGTTGTGTGTTTTTTTCTTTCAGTATAGCTGCCACTAACCCCAGTAGATGTCACAGTGAGATTGAGATGGCCATCAGGTGGACATTAGGTGAGAGGACCGAGAGGCACTCAAATCTTTCCCAACCTCCCAGCCCCTCCCAGAAAAGGTAAAACAAAGCAAAAGGACAGTGTTGCTGGCTGGAGCTTTGACCACCGTTTTCCTCGTGGAGTCAGTTCCCAGAGCCTGATCCAAAGGACCTCTTCCCCCTAATGCCACGCCTGAGCAGAGGCCGGCACAGAAGCAGTGGGGGGGCCTCAATGTGTGGGCCTAGGTGGCCTGCCCGGGAACAGATTTAGACTCACCTTGTCTGAATGGAGCAAGCGTGGGGTCGGGGGGAGAAGGTGCAAGAAAACTGTGTAGGGCTACTGCCACAAGCGGGGAGAAAGACACCCCAGGGAAACATCTGCTCTACAGGAGCTCGATCCTGAGCCTTTGCTCTCTGGGCTCAGCCCTGGCTCCCAATTGCTCGGGTGTGGTTTGCAAGGGGACCTGCCCTAATGCACTGGGTCTTAAAAAGGCACGAAGAGCCTACCCACTATCATGAGGCAGTGGAAAGAGACAGTGAGAACTGTTTTCTTCTACAGGCCAA